AGCACAGTGGCGAGATCTTCAGTCACTGTAACCTCCCCGTCCCGGGTTTAAGTGATCCTCCTGCCTCAGCCTCCTGAGTAGCTGGGATTACAGGCGTCCACCACCACACCTGACTAATTTTTGTATTTTTAATAGAGATAGGGTTTTGCCATCTTGGCCAGGCTGATCTGGAACTCCTAACACCTCAGGTGATCCGCCCACCTCCACTTCCCAAAGTGCTGGTATTAGAGGTGTGAGCCACCGCGTCCAGCCCCAAACATACTTTTTAACTTTGACAATAAAATAAACTTAAGACAACATTATCCAAAGGCAGGCCAGCAAATGATACCAAGAGAGTAAGTCGTGTTGCTTTTTTCCTTCAAATGTCATCAATATGTTTTGCAAGAAAACTGAACAGAACAGCTTTAAAAATTCAACATATCTTACAAAGTATAGGTAAGAGGGAGGTGGGAAAATCTACATATGGTTCAAAAAGCCCCCCCCCACCAAAAAAAAAAAAAAAAACTCTTCAATTTCTACGGCATTCCAAACTTTTTCAATTACCAAAATCAAATGACTCAACTTTTTTTTTTAATTGACCATCATGGTTTTGTTATTGTAGAAAGTGTAAAGGCTTTATTTCCATAAGCAGTGGAAAAAGGAATTTTATGCTTGTTAAACCAAGTAATTAAGCTAAGAATTTCCACCAAAATAATTTTGATTGACCAATGAAGTTGATTTAAAAAATGTTTTTTTTCTGGTTATAAAAGTATTATGTGCTTATAGAAAATTTAGAAAATACAGGCAAGTGGCCAGCACAGTGGCTCACACCTGTAATCCCAGCACTTTGGGAGGCCAAGGCGGGTGGATCATGAGGTCAGGAGCTCGAGACCAGCCTGGCCAATATGGTTAAACCCCATCTCTACTAAAAATACAAAAATTAGCTGGGTGTAGGGTGGCGTGCGCCTGTAGTCCCAGCTACTTATGAAGCTGAGGAAGGAGAATCACTTGAACCCAGGAGGTGGAGGTTGCAGTGAGCTAAGATTGCGCCACTGCACTCCAGCTTGGGTGACAGAACAAGACTCTGTCAAAAAAAAAAGAAAATACAGGCAAGTATAAAGAAGAGGAGCTGGGCCCAGTGGTTCACGCCTATAATCCCAGCATTTCAGGAGGCAGAGACAGGAAAGTCACTGGAAGCCAGAAATTCCAGACCGGCCTAGGCAACATAGTGAGACCTGTCTCTAAATAAAGAAATAAGAAAACAAACTGAAATAACTTTTTTTTTTTTGAGACAGTCTCACTCTGCCACTCAGTGCAGTGGTGTGACCATGGCTCACTGTGGCCTTGACCTCCCAGGCTCAAGAGATCCTCCAGCCTTAGCCTTCTGAGCAGCTGAGACTACAGGTGTACCAGGCTAAATTTTGTATTTTTTGAAGACAGGGTTTTTCCATGATGCCCAGGCTGGTCTTGAAATCATAGGCTGAAGTGATCCTCCCACCTTGGTCTCCCAAAGTATTGGAATGATAGACATGAGCCACTGCACCTGGCCCAAAATTAATAGTTTTTGAGAACAACTCATTGCTATACTAAAAGCTCATCTGTCACCTAGCTGTAATGAGCTAGAAGGGCATTCAGAGAATGGCATTTACTTGGATTGCTTCACTGCTTCAACGTTGTCATTTAAGGGCATATTAGCTACTGTCCAGTGTACTGGGGTGTGTACAGTGGTAATTTGTGGCTTAAAAGAACTGATTTCTTTTTTTTTTTGAGACAGGGTCTCACTCTCACCCAGGCTAGAGTAAAGTGGCACAATCTTGGCTCACTGCAACCTCTGTCTCCCAGGTTCAGGGATGTTCGAATTTCAGCCACCCGAGGAGCTGGGACCACAGGTGGGCACCACCATATCCAGCTAATTTTTTTTGTATTTTTTGTAGAACGGGGTCTCGCCACATTGCCCAGGCTGGTCTCAAACTCCTGGACTCAAGCAATCCACCCACAACCTCAGCCTCCCAAAGTGTTGGGATGATAGACATGAGCCACCGCACTCGGCCAAAAGAACTGACTTCTGAGCACAGTCTGTGCCCCAAACAGTTTTTACATACTGACGGAATGTTATTTTTTGAGATAACCACCAAGTTCCACTCTAGCAGATTTTAGAGTAGATCTGTGGATGCACACACAGCATCCTTTTTCTAAAGGGTCTCACTATATTGCCCAGGCTGGTCTTGAACTCCTGGGCTCAAGAGATCCACCCACCTTGGCCCCCCAAAGTGCTGGCATTACAGGCATGAACCACCTTGCCTAGCCATGAGCATCCTTTCTAACTTACTTCTGGAAAACTAAAAGTTCATTTCCAAGACTCCTTTACAATTCAGTTTCCCCATGTGAAATGTGGCCCATCAATGAGATGTTCTGTGAGATCTGGAAGGCAGAAATGAGGTGAGAACCATCTTTCTTCTGTTTTGGCTGTTAATGCTGGCAAGCACATTTATGAAAACATTTTTTTTTTCACAGCAGAATTCCACTGTCAAAAGCTTCATAATTGTCAAGAGACAAACATGGTGAAGACACGAGTCACTATTTGGTAGGAGTTCAGGTAAGTTAAGGGGTAGCAGGCTTGTTTCCTTTTACTTATTTATATTCAGAGGCAGGGTCTCACTGTGTCACCAGGATGAAGTGCTGAAGCACAGTGGTGCAATCATAGCTCACTGTAAACTCAAACTCCTGGGCTCAAAGGGATCCTCCCACTTTGGTGTCTGAAAGTTCTGGATTACACTACGCACAGCTTGGAGAGGTTAGTCAACCCTTAAATTACGCTAGTGATGACACTGGAAGCCTCCCACTCCCTGGGGGGCC